CCCCCCCGCAAGCTGAGCGTCGGATTTGAACGAAGTTAAGCTTGGATCTGAAAAATTCAAAGAGAGGTCGAGAAATACTTTTTGTGAAGATGTCAGCAACTTGGAGATGAGAGGGTACATATTGTGTGCGAAGTTTGCCAGCGATAACAAGTTCTCGAAGGAAATGATAATCTAGTTCAACATGTTTGGCTCGTTTATGAGAAACGGGATTAGAGCTCAAAAAAATAGCACTTTTGTTGTCACATAAGAGTAGAGGTTGCTGTGAAATAGGGACCTTGAGGTCATGCAAAAGATACGTAACCCAAAGAAGTTCAGTAGCAGTTGTGGCAAGAGCACGATACTCAGATTCACAGCTGGAGCGTGAGACAGTAGGTTTCTTTTTGGCACTCCAAGAAACGAGATTGTTACCAAGATAAATAGAATAGCCGGATGTAGAACGACGGGTATTGGGACAACCATCCCAGTCAACATCCGAATCAGCGACTAGCGTACTAGGAACAGTGGATGGACGAAAGGTAAGATCAAAGTTGAGTGTTCCTTTGACATAGCGAAGAATACATTTGACAGCAAGAAAGTGATCTACAGTAGGGGCATGCAAGAATTGACTGACAGAATTGACAGCATAGGCAATATCTGGACACGTAATAGTCAAGTACTGAAGGGCGCCAACAAAAGACCTATAGAGAGTAGGATCAGAGAAAGGAGAACCATCAATAGTCAGGTGTTGAGAAACAACCATGGGAGTGAGGAGTGGTTTGCTATCGAGCAACTGAGCACGAGTAAGAATATCTCGAGCATATTTTAACTGACTAATGAAGAGACCATCAGGAGTGGGTGAGGCTTCAAGACTAAGAAAATAACTGAGAGAATCCAAATCTTTGGTAGCAAACTCAGAATGAAGCTTGCGAATAAAGCTCTCAATAAGAGATGAGTTGTTGTCGGTAACAATAATGTCATCAACATAAGGAAGCAAATAGATAAGATTAGATTGCTGATGAAAGACAAAAAGGGACGTGTCAGCACGACTGCAAGAAACCCAAGTGTGAGAAGAAATGAGCTAGAACGCTGAAACTAGGCACGAGGAGCTTGCTTTAAGCCATAGAGGGCTTTCTTTAATAGACAAATATGAGTGGAAAATCGAGGATCAAT